ACAAGGTATTCTATTTTGTTCAACTGTTCACCTTGACAAGGTATTCTATTTTGTTCAACTGTTCACCTTGACAAGGTATTCTATTTTTTTCAACTGTTTACCTTGATAAGGAGTTGTATTTTGTTCAACTGTTCACCTTGACAAGGTATTCTATTTTGTTCAACTGTTCACCTTGACAAGGTATTCTATTTTGTTCAACTGTTCACCTTGACAAGGTATTCTATTTTGTTCAACTGTTTATTTTAACGAATTGTATTTTATCAAATGTTGAAATGAATTTACTATAGATTATAAACAAAACCAGTGATAGTTTGGGAGAAGCGATTTAGATATACACTATAATATGGTATGATAAACCTTGTACCATACCCAAACTTTCCTGAATTCATGACTTTCAGTGAGCTAATGGTGAAATCTAGTCTCTCTAAGACAAGTTATTATTAAGATATAACAATTTGAAATGTTGACTTTTTCTTAATTTTCTAATTAGGACCCGTCTCTCAAACAATAACATTAACATTGACAAGGAAAGTGAATGCAATTAAACAACTTTATAAATCCTACCGAAAACCGATAAAATCAGAACAATAAAGAACAAATTTATTGGAAATACACCCATGATTTCTGTACAAAAATTGTTCTGTGTAATACAGGAAAACATACACAGTACAATTATCTAAATTCATGTACACAACGGATTCTAACTTGTTCACTATACTGTATTCTACCACCTATGATCTTTTTCATTTTTTCTCCTTCAAAAATGTACCGTAAAGAGGAATCCCAGAAGTTCAACAAACACCAATAACTTTCGAGGACAGAATAAATGAAGCTTTTTAAAAAAATAATCTTGAGATAAAAGAATGGGTAAAGATATATAGTTAAAGTATGAGGCATTCGTTTTTCAATGATCTACTTAGATGTTGTTGTTTTTATGGAGGCTACATCCAAAAAAGTGGTTTGTTTTAATAGAGGAGTACTTAAAAGGAAAGCTTAACGATCAACTCATCTTTAGAGTGACTAGACGACGACCTCCACCTGGCCAGAAAAAACATAAACAGTTTCCTTAAGCCTCCAGAACAAAGAAACACTTATACAAACATAGGAACCCAAAACCACGAAAACGTATTTAGTTCTTTCAATAAAACTCTGCAAGAACGTTATTATCCGAGTGTCGTTATTTGTAAACACGCTTTAATACTTCTTCGAGGTTCGTGCCTATTTTTTTTTTTCAATCATTTTAACAACCAGCCTTTTTTTCAGGAAAATTCACTAAAGCTCTCTTTAGAGTCAATCACTTTCAAAAACAAACATACAAAAAACAATTCTTTCCTAGCGCTTGCCTCTTCCCCAAATAGAGAACATTTTCCAAAAGGAAAACCTGTCTCCTGAAGCCGCATTTTCCTTTGATTCAGAGGTGTAGTCGTTCATATGTGGCGCTCCGTTCTGTCGAGAGTGCCTCTTTTGTTCTTCACAGGGCGAAGGGTTAGAAGGACTAGAATGACCGGACTGTGGATTATCTCTGGTTTCTCTTAACATATCTAGCACATTCTGTTCAGATTTTGTCACCTTTGCACGCGTCAAGGTGAAGCTACGATTGGTGGACTTCCCAGACTGTTGATCAGCAGAGGCTGACCCACCGGATGGACTGTCAGACTGGATGGCATTAGGATCTTCCACGAATGCTTGAGCAAGGTTCCTGCTGATTTGTTTTCTGATTGTTTTTTTCATGGACAAGTGACGCTCAAGATGGCGTATGTCTTTGTCGGTCAAAGTCTTTGTGCCATAACTACCACAGTCGCCATTTTTATTGGTACTGTTTTTATTATAATCCGATGAAGTACAATTTACATCCGTATAAGATTTGTTTTTTTTCTTGGTTTTACTTTTCTTGTTTTCCAGGTTAGAGTTCTCTATCCCACTCCTCTCCTGTTCATCATCTATTACTTCCCTGGTGTCTTCCTCGAGAAACTCATCGGGGATCCCATCAAAATCTCTTCTCTTCCTCCTACTGCCTGGAGAACAGTCATACTCACAAACCTCCTGCAAACCGTAAGGTGGTGAATCCTTCTTAGGGTTGTAGAAGATATTCCTGACGTCAGGTATGTTTCGGTCCATGATGGCCACAATCACAAGAAGAACTGCTATTAAGAGGAAGAAAAAGAAAGAAAATTAGGAAACTTCTGGCTTCACGAACTCCAAACAAAAAACGAATAAAATCATAGCATGTAGAGCTTAGCAACATTAATGAATAGATATTTCTAAAGATGTTATTGGAATAATCCACCGGTTTTATTTAAAACAACTAATACATTATTGCAAACCATGTCGACGTAACTGGATTTGGTACGTTTACTACCCGCATCGGCAGATTTAATAAAAGGAATTTGAACTGACTACCCTTTAAAATATCCTGAAATCGAACAAATAACGGAGCTCTGCTGATGTGTTGTTAATACTAAAGGGATAAAAGCATCGTATGGTGCATTATTTGATTCCCCGTCCAGCGAAATACTTTTCTGTCAACCAATTATATTATTTTTGTTATTTTCAAAAAAACATAAAAGAATGACAAAAGTACAATGTAAGTACATAAAATAAATACAATATACTTAAATACAATGTATGTACATAAAATAAATACAATAAACTTAAATACAATGTAAGTACATAAAATAAATACAATATACTTAAATACAATGTAAGTACATGAAATAAATACAATATACGTAAATACAATGTAAGTACATAAAATAAATACAATATACTTAAAGACAATTTCTGAAGAAAAAAAAAAAGGATTAAATAATGAAATAGAAGTAAAAAGCCATGTGGCCTGTAAATAAGCAAACGTACTATCGAGCTGGATAGTGTTATCGTTTTCAAGGACACTGCCCAATGTCAAAAGGTCATGACGAGTAATAGCATGTCTACAAGGGTATCGCCGCACAGCCTGAGAGATACATTTGTGAATCTGTATTTTTGTTGTTTTCTTTTAGTGGGGTGCTTTTTTTGTTTGATAGCTAAATTATGTGCCTAATATTTTGAGGGGATACGTCCCCCTCAACCCCCACGGATTTTGCGCCTATGAATAAAAGGTTGAGGTAAATGAAGAATTACGCTATCAAACTTTGATATTTAAATGTAGGCGTTTCGAGGAAAGGCTACCGGTACAACAAAACTCGCCACCAGGAACCCTTTCTTGTCTCTCAACTTTTCTAAAAGCCCTCGAATCGAGTTAAGACCCGTCAGTTCTCAAGCAAGGTGGGTGACGTAGCGGGAGCCGCCCTAAGCGGTACACTATAGCAGAGCAGTAGAACCGGTTTTATGCTACAGAAACGAGAGAGAATTCAAGTAGTCGGGTCTGTCAAAAACGTTGCTATAACAACTTATGTCCAAGGTTTCAGAGGGAAAAGGTATTAAAACACATCCAAGCGAAGCTATGTTATAATATGATATTAGTATAAAATATCAAGTCTGGCAGAGGTGAAATATCGCTGTCGGAAATATTTGTTTAGTGTTGTTGTTTTTTTCGTATTATGAACCAAAACGAGTAATAACAAAATGGGGAGGAGTTCAGTGCCTCGTGTTGTAATTACATAAAACAAAATTTCAACCAATTACTAAATTGATCATAAATTCGAACTCGATTTGAATGCGTCAGTTTAGAAGAGTGGACGTGGTGGTCAATCACGTGCTGCACGTGTACACGTACTTAAAACGGGTTGTTTAGTAGGCCGATTAACAACAAATGAAGCAGAGTCAAGAAACACGATAATATTTATTATTATTAAGATAGAGAACAGAGTATGTAGCCCAGTTTTTGAAACGCTGCTGAAGGTCATCTATGGTTTATTATTAGCTCAAGGTATACCGTGGGCTAATATTAACACACACCAATCTCAGAAACTACATCAGTCTTCAGTTTTGGGAACAGTTTTTAAGAAATCAAATCCAGCCATCCACGTGAATATCAGTTCCGCCATCAAAAATTTCACAAGAAAAACGTGTCATATCCCAGAATAGACAGAAATGCCATATCTAGCCAATTTAGACGAAAATATATTCCAGAATAGATATAAATGCGAAACATTTTACCCTTATAGAAATGTTAAAATTCTCAGTTATATATATTAAGCAGGCCATCTCTTCAACTAAGAAATTCAAAATCCCATCAACATATAAGTTGATTGTTAATACTTTACTTGTCAAATGCACAATAGGTGGCGCCGAGGATGTTAAGATTTTTGTTGCTCTAACACTCGGTAGGTGACGTTAAGGACATCCAGATTTTTGTTTCTTTATTAGTTCAAATCGATAAGTGCAGAATTTTCTTTAAAATTAATATCAAGAATTGTACGTGAAAAACCGATAAAACTGAACCCCTTGCTAATGAGGTTAATATCTTTGAAACTCAACTGCAAATGGCCAAACTGTCCACTTTTTAAGAGAAACGGTGATTTCTATATATTTACTGTTATTTCTATATTATCACTGTTATTTCTAAGTTATACATTTTATTTATCCGAAAAAGGACCGAAGGCCGCCTGGAAGGGCCATCTGTTTTAGCAACTCGCACCTCTATACAGTGGTGTTGTCTGTCAGTCAGTCAGTAGTGACGTCAGTAAAACGAGCGCATGCCATGATACACGAGAATTATGCACTCTGTAGGCAACAACACAGCAGTGACATATGAACTTCAAAAGTAAGAAATACAAATATTTGTTACTCTTAATTTTGGTTTTATTTACTATTGCAACAGAACACTTTCTGGGACCCTACACTGGTACATCTAGTTTAATTTTGGTTTTATTTACTATTGAAACAGGACACTTTCTGGGACCCTACACTAGTACATCTATCTTAATTTTGGATTTATTTACTATTGCAACAGGACACTTTCGGAAACCCTACACTGGTACGTCTAGTTTAATTTTGGTTTTATTTACTATTGAAACAGAACACTTTCTGGGACCCTACACTAGTACATCTAGTTTAATTTTGGTTTTATTTACTGTTGAAACAGGACACTTTCGGGGACCCTACACTAGTACATCTAGTTTAATTTTGGTTTTATTTACTATTGAAACAGGACACTTTCGGGGACCCTACACTAGTACATCTAGTTTAATTTTGGTTTTATTTACTATTGAAACAGGACACTTTCGGAAACCCTACA